GGACCCGATGCGCGCGATCGCCGAGCGCGTCAAGCACGACGAGGCCGGCTTCAACGCGACCCTCGAGGAGGGCAACCAGCTGCTCGAGGAGGAGGCCCAACTCGAGAAGGAGCGGCTGATGTTTGAGCGCCAGCGAATCCAGCTCCAGGCGGAGGTCGAGTGGCTCAAGGTCCAGGACGAGCCCGAAAACCGGGTTTTGGTCCTGCAAGAGCACATCAAAGCCGTCGCCCAGCGCGTCTCCGCGATCAACACACGCCAAAATGAGGTTCAGAAGCGGATTTTGGAACTCATCCAGACGGACCATCCGGAGTTCGTATGGAAGTCCATCGCCTCTAGCTCACGGATCTTGCGTCTGATTAAAGGCAGCGGGCTTTGGTTGAACGTGTCGTTTTCGGACTTCCAGATCCTCTCCACCTTGTCCTTGACGGTCAATAGCAAGGTCTATCATGCCCTCCGCCGCGGCGATAACTTCGCCCTGAAGGAGATCCCCATCGATGACGAAAAGGTTCGCCGTCGTTTTCAACGGGAGGTCGACATCATCGCCTCCTGTATGCATCCGAATATTGTTCGAGTGAAGGGGGTTTTCTTCGACGGCCCCTTCGCCTATCTTCTCCTGCCGTATTACCACCGTGGGAGCCTGCAGACCCTGCTGGGGGCGAAAGAACCCATCCAATGGGGGGACATCCAAAGCATCTTCCGCCAGCTCGCGACGGGCCTGGCGTATCTGCACGAGCGCTCGATTTGCCATGGGGATATCAAGCCCTCGAACATTTTGATGGCGGAGGCCGGCTATCCCATCATCTCGGACTTTGGCATCGCGCGGGATAACGGGCGATTGGGCGAGGACCTCGACCTGGCGATCCCCAACGGCCCCGCCACCGCGCAGGGCGGCGTGGGGACGACGCAGTATATGGCCCCCGAGCAGCTTCTCGGCGAGCGAAAAGGTGCCACCACCAAAAGCGATATCTGGGCCCTCGGCATCACCTTTTACGAGGTGGTGGCCTTCAACACCTTCTTCAACGACGCGTCGATGGGGGAGCCGGACTTCCCGCTGATTCCGTCGAATAGCGGCATCATCGACGTCCCCGCGTGGCGCGTCGGCGGGGATGAGAGGTTGGCGGATTTAATTATGCGCGCACTGACGGTCGATTTTAATCGGCGGGCGACGGCCTATGAGCTGCTCGCGCACCCGTACTTTAGCTCCCCGATGAGCGCCAACAACAACAGCAGCGCGACGCTGGCGAAGAGCGATGAGCGAATTCACGCGGTGCGCTCTTACATCCACGCGGTTCGCGCGACCCACACACAAAAAGTCCTCGTATCCGTCTCGCGGAATCAAATGTTGGAATCGCTCGCGAATATCATGGAGCGCCTCGACGAGGAGGATATGATGGCGCCGATTATGGTGGTCTTTCAAGGCGAATCCGGTATTGATGAGGGCGCGCTCACCACGGAGATGTTGACTTTGTATTACGAACAACTCGTACGGCGAGAAAAGGCGCTGGTGTGCTCACTCAACGATGAGGAGGTGGCGTTCTCCAGGGAAGGGGACCTGGGGATCGTGACGGGGGTGACTTATCTTCCTGCCGAGGATGATAAAAACATCTTAACCAGCGTATTTGAATTGCTTGGAAAGGTACTGTTGAAGAGCATTGTCGAGAACCGTCCTTTGCCTCTTCAGCTGAACCTTTCGGTGCTTAAATACTTCTGTGGGACGCCCGTCTCGATGGTGGATTTGGAGGAGTATGATCGCGTTCTGGCGGAGTCGCTTAAACGTCTGCGTTTGCTCTCTTCGGAGGACCTGGAGACGATGGAGCTCAAGTTTTCAATTTTCACCCCAACTTTTTTGGCGAATCATTTGGATGGAATGTACATACAGGAAACCACCGTGACGACCGACAACGTACGCGATTATGTGGACCTTCGGATTGAATTCGATCTTATTGAGCGGCGAAAGCGCGCCTTGATGGTAATGAAGAAGGGGTTTTACAGCTTTCAATCCATCGAACCCCACCTAAAGCTGCTTTCCCCATCTGACCTTCTATTGCTATTGTGCGGCGTCCAACACGTCTCCGCCCAGGCGATCGTCGACGCGCTGGAGTTTCACAACTTCGATGCCTCGTCGAAAACCCCAATATACTTGAAGGAGTACCTTTTAGAAACCTCACAAAACAATTTACGGCGCTTTTTGCAGTTTTGCACTTCCTCTGCTGCGATGCCGGCCAATAACACTCTGCGAAAGATTAAAGTGGTCAAGGCTTCTGATACCCAACGTTTACCTGTTGTCCATGGATGTGTTCATCAATTAGACCTTACCGACTACAATGACAAGGAATTGTTAAAGGAAAAGCTCGAAATTGCTTTAGCGCACGTCGGTGATGGTTTCCATATTGTCTAATCAAAACCAAAATTCTGATATATGAAATCACAAAACGTGGATCTTCAATTCATAGGTTAAATTCCCCTTGAAAAGTAATTATATGGAAAGTATATTTTATTATTTCTATCTTCTAGCTGTCTTTTTGATAGGTTAAAAATATGAGTACTATTTTTAACACAGCATAAATTCTAGTGTAACTGTCATTCCTTCTAGGAATCCGGACATACTTAACAATAATTGTTAAAAGAAATGACGATACTTAATATAAACATTCGCGATCTCGGAATTATTCATTTCAAAAAAGGAATACCCCTTTGAAGGAATCAATTTCGGATTTCATAGCAATATAATATAAATCGATCGCCATCGCTTTTTTTCTCCCCCCCCCCCTGACAGTTTTTTCAAACTAAGCTATCATCTATGGGATTAGCCTCATAACCCTTATTATTATTATTATTATTATTACTATAACTATTATTCCCCTTGTTGTTGTGATTCCTCTTGTGACATTGCCCGTGTCTTATTAGTGTCCCGTATTCTTCACAGGATTCTCTCATCCTAATTCGATACCCCCCCCTCTTTCCCTTCCCTGAAGAAGGGCGCTGAGCGTTTAGTGGGTACTATCGCAGCGAGATGAGGGGCGACGTCGGTAATCCGCCGCTCAGCCGTGAGAGGGTCTCCAACACGTCGGGTTTTGCCCT